GAACCTTTCTCCCCAGCACACCACTGCTTTCCAATTCCCACCCGCTTGCCCAGCCCCCTCTCCTCGGCCCTGCCCCTCCCTCGTCCCCCTCTCCTGCTGAGTCTCCACTTGCTCTGCACTGCACACTGTGTTTACAAGACAGCAATGACAGTTTTTTATTTTTCTTTTGTCTCCCTTCCTTCCCTGAAGGGAAACGTGCTTCCAATCGCCCAGGAATAAAGGAAGGCTCTAGACACAAACAAAGGACAAGTGGGACCCTGGGTGACACCCCACTCTCACCAATGGACATACATACAAACAAGTGCCCATGAAGCCTGCACGTGTGCATACACACACACACGCGCGTACACACACACACTTCCCCTCCGGCTGTAGCTTCCAAGAGTGCCTGTGTTATTTTGGGGGTAATTGAAAATGTCGATCTTTATTCTAGAGTATTAACAGGGCAGAGGGACACAGGAATCAAGGAGAGCTGGGGTGGGAGAGAATCAGAGGAAGGGAGACCCAGTGAAGTGTCAGACCAGACAAGAGGCTTTAGACAACGGAGGGTGGAAGTAGGGGACATCAGGATGGCCTCTCCCCATCATGGGCAGCTGAGACATGCACCTTCCCACCCCTAAGACTCAATGGGACACATCTCCAACCAACTACCCATCCTACCCTGTGAGGCATGAGGACAGAAGGGCTGACTCCCTTTCCTCGGGTGTTTCCTCTAAGTGCTGGAGACAGGCAGAGGAAAACTTACTTATCTTGGTGGATAAGTGGCTCCTTGGACCAGGGCATCCCAACTCCTTTATGAGCACAGACCACTCTCCTCTCATTGCCAGGCCCTCCATCTCTGCATGGGTATGTACATATGTATATGCCCTTAACATTCTCATCGTTTATATCCTTTGCCTCTAGGGGGTCAAGGAGCAAGTATGAGCCAGCCTTGGGAGTCATGGGTATTGTGTGAGATGAAGGGGTACCTGGCGGGGGGGGGCTACAAGGTAGTATCTGGTGTGATGTCTAGGGGAAATTTCTGCTTTCTCCCTGGAAGGGCAATACAAGGAGTTTGTTTGAGGGTAAATATAGAGTGAAATGTGGAGTTTCCTGGGAGACATCTTGGCTCAGTGTACGCGTAGATAAGAGATGTCTGTCCCTGCAGGAAGGGCCCATGCTCACGCTCACTTCCTGGCTCAGGGCCACTGTCTCTCAGCATCTAGGAACCAGGAGCACACTGGTTTGAGCCTATCAGAGATCAGATGAGGGTTTCTTGCAAGGTCACATTTGAGCCTACTGAGTTCCTCGGAAGGGGCCAAACCAGCTGCAAGCGGTGGGAAAAATCTGTGCTTGTTTGACTTTCTGCAGGTTTCCTATCTGAGGCATCCCCTCAGGGAGGAGAGGCCAATGGGTGCTGCTTTGCCAAAAGGCCAAACACACAGCTGGGGAGATGGCTCAATGGGTAAGAACACTTGCTGCGTACATTGAGGATCTGGCTGGGTGTGGTGTCACATGCCTGTAATCCCAGCACTCGGGAGGCAGAGGCAGGCGGATCTCTGTGAGTTCGTGGCCACCCTGGTCTACAAAGTGAGTTCCAGGCCAGCTGGGGCTACAGGGAGACCCTGTCTCAAAAAGACCAAAAAAAAATTAAAAAAATAAAAATAAGTTGAGGATCTGAGTTCAATCCTCAGTAACCATGCAAAAAGCTCCGCGCGGTAGCACCCACATCTGTAACCCCAGTGCTGTTGGAGTAGGCAGAGAATGGAGGATCACTAGGGCTTGCTGGTCAACAGCCTTGTTCCGGGTTCAGTGAGAGATCCCCTCTCAAGGCAACACAAAAGAGAGTAATAGAGCAGGACATCCGATGACCTCCCCTGGCCTCGCACATGAGTGCAGAGGTGCACCCACGCGTGAACATACACCACACACACACACACACACACACACACACACAAAGGGCAAACTCAAATGACATGATCCTATCTTCACATGAGCTACTGATCTTCCCCAGAGGCTACATTCCCTCCTTGGCAGAGCTGTCTTCTGAACATCTCTGTCCCCAAGAGACTCATTTGACCCCCTTTTTCTCCTTCTCTGCATCCCTCAGAACCCCCAAATCCATTCCAAGTGTCCACTCTAGCTCTATTGTCCAATCTTACCCATATCTGGTAAACCTAGGGGCCAGACTGGTCTGTCCAATGAAGTGAAAATTAAGACTCAGTCCCAGTATAAGTAAAGGCTCTAATCCTACACTAAGCCCTGATTCTGGTAACACACCAAACCCAAACCTTTATCTAGAAATAGGCCATTCATTTGTCACCTAGCCAAAGCTGTTTCTAGGCTCTAAGCCTCAGTTTCTTCATCTTCCCAATGGTGGTCTTTGCCTGGGCTAGGTACTCCATCAGAAAAAGCATGTTCAAAGACTGGGCCGAAGCTTACCTGACCAGACACAGGGGAGCCCAGTGGCTGCTACCCTCCAGCCCCACCCCCATCCAACACTTTCAGCCCAAGCATCACTAATTTTTTACAACCGCCATGATAAATGGCATTGTCGGGAAAATGACATCTTTCTAATCTGCTGCAAGACAGATGGGTACCTGAGCAGGCAGTCTCTCTGGAGAATCTGCCCAAGCCAGCCTGGAAAGACAGGACAGACACCAACTCAGGGCCTGGAGGGAGGGGGGCTTCAGGGACCCTAGCCAGGTATGAACACAGGTGGTTTCTACGAGCCTTTCTTAAATAATGTTGGATCTTTTTTTTTTTTTTTTAATATTCCAAAGATACCTCTTCCTTCCTGTCCAAACTGAGGTCTAGTCAATTTAATTTTTGTTTTCAGCCAAAACCTCAGTGTTATACCAGGTATCATGGTACACACCTGCGATTCCAGCACTCAGGAGACTGAGGCAGGAGGGTCATCAGTTCAAGGCCAGTCTGTGCTACATAAAAAGACACTGTTCTTTTTTAAAAATCCTGTGAGCCAGGCGTGGTGGCACACCCCTTTAATCTCAGAATTCAGGAGGCAGAAGCGGGCGGATCTTTGTGAGTTCAAGGCCAACCTGGTCCACATAGTGAGTTCCAAGCCAGCTGGGGTTATAGGGAGACCCTGTCTCAAGAAGAACAAAAACAAACAAACAATCAAATAAATAAATAAATCCTGTGACAGTAAAGTGCTTGACACAAAAGCATAGGAACTGAGTTTGATCTCCAGCACCACATAAAAGTACTGAGTGGGTGCTGGGTGCTGGTAGTGTATGCCTTTAATCCTAGCACTCTGGAGGCTGAAGCAGGCAGAGCTCTGTGAGTTCGAGGTCAATCTGTAAGTTCCAGGCAAGCTAGGGCTACAAGGAGACCATGTCTTAAACAAAATAAAATAAAACAATATGATTGAGGCTGTGTACCTGTAATCCTAGTACTGGGGAGGTAGGGACAGAAGGATCCCCAGGAACGCCCTGGCCAGCCAGTCTAGCTGAATTGGCAAGCTCCAAATTCAATAAGAAACTCATTCTCAAAAAATAAAGCAGAGAGCAATCGAAGAGGACACCCAGGGCAAATTTCTGGTCCCCACATGCACACACATGCACATGTACCCACTCACACATGTGCACACACACTCACACACAACAATAAAAAATAAAATAAAATCCTGAATTCTAAGCTCAGGGATAGAAGGGTGAAACATTCAGCTAAGCCTGGTGGTGTAGGCCTATAACCCCAGCTACTTTGAAGGCTGAGGCAGGAGCATCCTGAGTTCAAGGCCTGCCTGGGCTGGGAAAGTAAGTTCAAAAACCAGCCTGCTTCCAAAAATAAAAAGGACAAGCCATTAGACACAGGCTCTGTGGTGGCCTTTCTTCATATCTCCCTCTGCCTAAGGCAGTGGGTCTGGAGGCTTCTTAATCCCACCTTTCTCCCTCCATGGTTTCCAGCCACACCCCATCCATCCACCCCCACCCCTGCTCTGAGCCCCTAGTGCACTGAAGATCAGGGGCTGTAACCCACAACTTTGTGTGGTAGAGAGTGGGAGAGGGCTGGTTCGGGGATTGAGGTGAACTAGGGATCTAGAAGCCAAGAGTCAAGAGGCAAGGAGTAGAAAATGCCATCCTAGGAGGCCCCAGCCAGTAAGAATGCCAGGTCTCACACCCAAAAGTAGGTGGAGCTAGGCTTGGCCTGAAAACTTAGGCCATACTGCCCCCTCCTGGCTCTCTGAGTCCTCTGCCAGGCTAAGCTGCTGAAGTAGGGGACAGGAGTGACTCCAAAGATAGCATGTGACAGTAAGACCCTCTCCCAGCAGCCCACAGGCTGACCACAGCCTCCAGCTCAGCCCATGCTGACCAGTCGTCTCTCACTGCCCAGAGTCTTCAGGAAGCACTGTGTCTTCACCGGGCATAGTCATACATACTATAATCCCTGCATTTGGAATATTGAGGTAGGAAAATTGCCTTAAGTTCAAGGTCAGCGTGGGCTATGATAAAACAAAACAAAGAAACCACTGTGTCTTATCTAGTTCCCGCCTTCAGGGTACCCTTGCTTCCAGCCACTGGCCTGCCCCTCCTGGCCTGCTCCCAGCTTGCACCCTTTTTGTCACCTCTACATACTGACACATAGCTACCTCTACCCCCCACAACAATCTCCACTTACCCTTTCAGGTCCCTCCGACAAGAACCTCTCCTCCTCCACACACAACCAGGATGACCCTCTCCTTTCTCTTGGGGACTAACTACTAGCAGGGACCAGAGTCACACAGTTCTAGAACTGGGAAAACTTAAATCTCATCCAGGACCATTAAAAGGGACTAAGAAACCCAGAGGAACAGCCACACAGCTTCTCAGTGGCAGCCATTGGGAGGTCCTGCCCAGGCTCCCTGGAGTACATTCAGCCTTGGAACCCCATGTGTACAGAACCAGTACGATTCTTCTAAGGATTCTCCAGCCCCTCACCCAGAGCAGGGCTCAGGGGAAGCAGCTAAGAATATTTGCAAAACGAAGGAATGAATAAAGAAAAACATTTATCTAATGCCTCTGTGTGCTGGTCACTCAGAAGGCACCAGCTCTGCTACAGGAATCTATGGTCAAGTTGCTCAGTGTGGTGTAGAAAAATAACATCCATGAGGAGGGTGGGGTATGCACCAGCAGGAGCCTTAGTCAACAATGTCAATGATCAGCGGACACAGGTGAGGCGAGTGTTTGATGCCCATGGTGAAGGCAGGTATGCGGGGCTTATGCACGGTGACCTGCTGGATGTTGTGGGAGCCAGGGCCAGGCCGAAGTGTGTGGTCCAGAGGGTAGGCAAAGTGCTTGGCCATGCTGAAGATGGGGCTGCGGTTCTGGTAGACAGATGGCTCTGGTCGGGCATGCATGGCAGGTCCAGGACCTCCTGCTATGTTCTCCTTGTAGAACCAGTTCTTGTTTGAAGAGCTCAGACTATAGCAGGGGGCAGCTCTGAAGACAGGGGTATTGGGCCCCAGTGAGTTTGGCAGCTGGTACTGGTTGGGGGCTGGGTTGGGGTCCATTACTCTATATGGGCACCGGTAGCCAAAAGTATACCGGGGAGCCCTGCGTTCCCCAGGAGGGTGAGTCTTCTCAAGGTTGTAGTGGCAGCAGGCTGGCGTGGCACTTAGACCTGAAAGTAAACAAAGTTGGGGGAGAGCCTCACAGTCCCTGATACATAAACTGCTGAGTCAGGGAGGGAGCTGCGTTCTTGCTCAGCCCTGGGGGGCTTCAGCATAAAGAGCTCAGCAGCAGGGCAGGGTCATCAGGCCAATATAGGGATATAAGAACAGGGAGTGGACAGCAAGATGGTCAACTAGGATGGTGACATTGCTGTCATAACATAAAAGCCATCAGTGTCAATATAGATAGCGCTGACTCCTCTGGCAGTCAGCATGATGGCCTTGTCCCCATATGCCATGATAGTACCAGGAAATTGTCCTGAGGTCAAAAGTTCTGTGAGCTCATTAGCATAACCATATCGCTACTTTGACATAAGCCCTATGACATCATAACACAATGTATATCATAACCGGCTTCTAGACACAAAAACAGTGTCACACAGGTAATGTCAGCATCATGACATTAGTGTCTTTGTTTTGTTTTGTCCTACCTCTGCCTCACAAGTGCTACGCCACCATTCCCACCTCACATCAGTGTCTTGATATGACATTAAGGAGATGCCAGCATTCACAAATCACACAAATACACCCCCTGCTTTGCCCCTGCCCAGGCTCTAAAGATGGACCCCCAAATCCCACACTCCCAATCATCCCCCTCCCAGCCCATCTTACGAAGGTTGGAGATGCGTTCCTCCATGGGGATCTGGGGACAGGTAGATATTCCAAACCGAGTTGCTTTAGGATCCAAGTAATAGCAAGGCCCAGGGCTACATACATCTATGACTCCTGTAGAGAACAAGGAGGGATGGGTCTGCCACAGGGGCCTTGTGGGAGTCTGCCTCCTCCAGAAGAGACATTTTCTCCCACAAGGGCCCCCTTCAGATTCCTCTGGCTCATGGCTGTCCATGAACTTTGATTTCCTTCTCTGTAAAATGGGACTCATCACATGACCTGCCATTCTGCAGTTTGCTGGGAGGACCAGATAAAACAAGAGCAATACCACAGTGTGGTCAGCCTCCCACCACAGACATGTCAGGGATGGTGCCAAGGGTAATGACAGCCACTGTATCTACTGTGAATATTGAGAGAGGGCCCAGCTAGGGGAAGCACAGGAAGGAGAGAAGGCAGGAAACCTGGATCCTCAGACCCATGCCCCTGCCCAGACTTTCACTGGCCCTGACAGTCATCCACAGGCCTTCTTTGATTATGGCAAATGAGGCCAGAAGAACTTTTGACACCAGAGCCAAAAGGCCCAGGGAAGGATGGCCCTGCTCTGCTGATGATGGGGCTGGGCCCCACAACTCCCTGGAGAGATCTGGATGAGAGGGCACAGAGCCTCCTTCAGAGGAAGGGGGTCATTTGGGAAGCCCTATTGGTTTTCTTTTGTCTCTCATCACATGCTTTAGCCCCCAGTGGACTGTGTCTGCAACCTTGAACAGTAGCCCTAGGCCCTCAGAGCTTGTCAGTGGGGGCTGCTCACGCCTCTCTGAGTGCCGGATGTGCAAGCTGTAAGCTGGCTCCTGGAACATGGAGGTATCATGGGCTATGCAGCCGGTACAAGATGGTCGGAGGTACTTGGCAGGCCCTGGACCTAGGAGAACAGACAGGACAGTCTTTCGCCTGAAACCACAGAATGATGCATCAAGAGATCGCAAGGACTTTGCTCTAGCTGATCTCATACTGCCACAGAACTGGGCATCGAGCTGTTTCCTGACAAGGAAGGGGAGATAAAATTCAATTTCCTCCAGGCATGGTGGTGCACACCTTTAGTCCTAGTACTTGGGAGGCAGAGGCAGGCACATCTCTGTGACTTCGAGCCTGGTCTACATAGTGAGTTCCAGGCCAGCTGGGGCTACAGGGAGACCCTGTCTCAAAAAGACAGAAAAAAAAAATTTAAATTTCCAATGGGCAGGCAATCTGTAACAGAAATGTAACTGTCACATTCTAACTAGCCATTTCATACGGTTACTTTAGCTGAGACCCTGACAACCCTTACTCTGCAAGGTAGATAATCATTTTTCCCATCTTACAGATAAGAATACCAAGGCTAAGAACTATCAATCTGACCATGTGAGAATCCAAGCATTTAATCTTTACTGTAAGCCATTTCCTGAGTAATAATCAGTTAATAACAACTTGGTAAGAATTCATTTGTCCAGTCTCTATCAAAAGGAAATAGAAATGACTTAAAGCTAGAACTGAGGAAGATGCTGAGTGGTAGAGTGCTCGCTTAGAATGCACAAGCCCCTGGGCTCAATCCCTAGCACCACGAAAAGCTAAAACCAGGCTAAAGGCTCCTAATCTTATTTATTTACTTTTATATTGTGTATATGTAGATGCTAGAAATCGAATCCAGGTCTTCTTGAAAAAGCAGCCAGTGCTCTTAACAACTGAGCCATCTCTCCAGCCCCAGTTTCTAGTTTTTTTTTCCAAAAACAGACACTGTATAGCCTCATACTCCAACTCTCCCACCCCCTAAAAAATTCCAGCATCTAACAGAGCTGAGGGGTTCAGCTTGGAGGTTGAGATCTTCTGTAGGGTCCTAAGAAGTGCTGAGACTTCGAGGAGGCAGGGTTGGCAGGCTGGACCCTGTCAGCAGCCCAGCAGAGCCAGTCTGCCCTGGCCCAGGTGGGTCTGCTCTCACCTTTGATGGTGGCCATGACAACAGGGGTCTGCTTTATCTCCTGCTGTGAGGGCACTGGCTCCTCCTTCTCTGGGTGCTGTATATAGAACACACAGTTCTTGGCTTCCTTGGGTGGTTTCATGGCTGAGGCTGGGAAACACCAACCAGTGGCAGTTACACCAGTGCCTGAGAGCCAGCAAGGAGGGGATACCCCCCGCCAAGGCCCCTACATCCACCACCCACCACCCACCCCAGAGACTCAGAAACAGCAAGCAGCCGGGCAGGGAAAAGACTAGGGCTCAAGCAGCTGAAGCCACAGAGGTGCAACCAGCACCGAGCCAGCAGCGGCTGAGCTGTGGGTGACATCACACCTCAGCAGAACTTGGACTGTGAAGCCCAGAGTGTTTATTTCCTCCGTTGCCGTGGTGCCTGAACTGTAGCATAGCAGTTCTACGCTGAGGGCCTAGTTTTAGAACCCTGAGAACTCAGCTCCATTGCCTACCCCTGTCTCCAACCAGGCTAAATGGCCTGAGGGGTCCTCAGGACCCTGGATCTGGGAAGGGAATAAGGAGTAAGTGGCATGGCTAAGCCAGCTCTTCACTACTAGTAGGCATGTTATAGACACAGGGACAGAAAGAATGAGTGGGTCCTGGGTGAAGGGTTCCTGCTCCCCGCACCCAGTCCTTGGTGTCCTCTACTCTCTGATCCTTCTACCTATCTCCCCAAGACTCTGGATAAGCCCTCCCTTCTATCAGAGTCTGCTTTTCCCTTTACCCGAAGGATTAAGCTATTTCGCACTAAGGTGCACTGCCCCTCGGCCCCTTCCCAGACTCCTTCCCTTAAAAAGCCACATCTAGGGGGCTGGAGAGATGGCTCAGCAGTTGGAAGTACTGACTGCTTCTAACCCGGTTCAATTGAACCCGAGTTCAATTCCCAGCACCCACATGGTGACTAAGAACTGTCTGCAACTCCAGTTCCAGGAGAATCCTGTACCTCCGTGGGTACTGCACGACATGGGTGCACTTACACAGGTGCAGGCAATGAACTCAAACACATAAAATAAAAATAATAAATAAAACATTTAAGAAGCCACATCTAGCTCGAGGAATACTTACCCAATGATGACATTTCAGACACAGAGTAGGAAGCAAACAAAAGAAGACAGAGGGTTCACACTGAGGTCCACAGCAGAAGCTTCCCATGCCTGTGGCTGAGACCTCCCCTTAGGAGGAATGTGTTGGAAAACACTAAGGGATGAGAAGGCTCCACAGGCTCCACATGATGGACGGATGAACCCCAGGGCTGGGGAAACTCCAGGGACCTCTTCTCTCCTAAGGAGCTCAAGGGGATCCAGGGTGTGAATCACACTGGAATCAGTCTGAACCAGGTAAAAGACCATCTGAAGGTCAGAAGACAGTGGCATTTAGATGAGGTCTGTCACCAGTGTAGAGACAGGAACACTGAAGCCACAGCATGGATCAAGGTCTTGTCCCTAGAGTTCTAGAATTCATCAGAGACAGGAATGAAACCAGGACATAAAATCCAGGGCTCTCTTTAGATGGCAGTCTTGGTGCTCACAGAGTTGCCAGAGCCATGCTTTAAACTCAAGAGAGCTGCCAGGCACAGCCACATCAGGCAAGCTGGGCACTTAAGGCCCTTGGGAACTGGGAGGCTCAGGTGTCACAAAAGGCTCCCAGACAGCAGCAGGTGACCCTCTGCAGGGGGACCAAGCCTGTACCTGCTTACCCACCCCGTGAAGGCACCATACCGGGACTCTCCTGCCTAGTGGGGTTCTCCGAGAGCCTCCCACTCAGCAGTCTGCTCTGTTCCTGTCAGGTGTCCTTGTACATAGCTCTCTTTGGGAAACTGATTCCCCCACCCTCAGCTGGTCCAAGCTGCTTTCTTTGGTTCCAAGCACTAGAAGCATTCCATCTCTGATGGAGTCCGAGCTCCCCCCTGGAGGAGCCCTTGGCTCTCCCCAGCTAGCCATTTGTCACTCATGCCCCTCCTCGCATCTTAGAGTCCCCCTCTTTGTCATATGTACCATGCCTTTAGGGTCCTAGTGTCCAGGAGTGACTCTGCATCCTCCCAGTGCCACCTGTCCCTCACAAACTTAGTGGCCCTGGCTCATGGTTTCTTCTACTCCACCCTTAACTTCTGCCATGACCCTGGTGACTTGGGCCTCCCCAGGGCCCACTCCCCAGTCAATGCCCAGGCCTCCTTGTGTGCAAAAAACTCTGCCAACTTCCTCTCAGCCCTTGTTCCCAACAGCAGTATGGGGCTTCTCATCACCTTCCAGAGCACCAATAACTGTTAACTCCATCTGGACACCAGTCCCTGCCTTCCATTTCCCACTCTATAGCAGTCTCTGCACAAGGGACCCCCCACTACTGAGCCTGTACCTCCTCCTCGCCTTCAGGCCCCTCCTGCCTTCAGGACGTTCAACCTTGAACTTGGCAACCTTACTGGGTCTCACCTCTGGTCAGCTTGCTCCCTGACCTCAGATATTGTTCCAGCATGTCTCACTCCTTCCACATGCCCAAGTCTCCTCAAAGCCCCTGACCACTTGCACCAAGCACAGAAAACAGGCCGTTGAGACTGGGCTGTGGCTGCAGCTCTCCCAGCCAGAACCACACCAGGCATCTGGCTACCTGCTTCCACTTCCACTGGAAGCTATGGCTGCCCTCCTCTCCTTGGATTTCCCTATCCTCTTTGAGATCCAAGGTCCCTTCCATCTGGTTAAGAGCATGTGTTGCTCTTCCAGAGAACCCGGGTTTAGTTCCCAGCACCTATATCATACAACTGCCTGTAACTTCAGCTCCAGGTGATCTAACATTCTCTTTTGAACTCTGTGGGTACTGCACACATGTGGTACACATACATACACTCAGGCACACTCACATACACATAAAATGAATAAATAAAAAAAATTTTTTTAAAAACCTGGGATGGAGGGATGACTCAGCGGTTAAGAGCACTGGCTGCTCTTACAGAGGACCCAGGTTCAATTCCCAGCACCCATGTGATGGCTAACAACCATCGTAACTCCAGTTCCAAGGGGATCTGACACCCTCCTCTGACCTCTGTGGGCATTGCATGACACTGATGCACTCACATACATGCAGGCAATACACTGATACACACAAAATAAAAACAATTTTTAAGTTTTTAAAAAATCTGCCTCTGGCCTCATACATGTTTCTGTGTCCGTCTGTCCATTTCTGCCAGTTCACAGACAGATTTACCCAAAGGGCTTTTTTTCTTGTGGTTGCCAGTCTCGCCTCTTTTTCCCTCCTGACTCACTGAAAGTTGGCCTCAGGCCCATTGCTCCACCCAAGGTAGGCTGTACTGAATGCCCAGGGACCTGCATGCAGCCATTGTACCCACTAGACACTTAGCATCCTCTTCTGATTTGGCCTCTTGGTAGAACTGAACTAACACGGTTGACCATGCCTTCCTTCATCCAGAGCCTCTGCTGACTCTAGAATGTTCTGGTTTTCCTTCCCTGGTTTTGGCTGCCCCTTCACAGACTTTCTTCTGGCTCTTCTTCCTCATCCTGACCTTTCAGTATTGGAAAATGCTTATTAATCACAAAGGGGAAAACAGTGAGTTCACTTGGGTGCAGTCTGTCAAGCTCTACCTCAACCAGGTAAAACACACGAAGATGGCTCAGCAGGTAGAATGCTTGCTAGGTAGAGACAGGAGGATCTCACTGGCCATCTCACCTAGCTAAATTGGTGAGCTCCATGTTCAGTGAGAGATTCTGCCTCCAAAAAATGGGGTAGGGAACAACTGAGGAAGATACTCAGTATTGGTTGACCTCTGGCCTCTATACACGTGCACACATACATAAACGGACCACACAAATTTTATGATGGTTATTATTGTGTGTATGTGTGTGTATGTATGTGTGTGTGGGTGTGGGTGTGGGTGTGGGTGTGTGCATGCCACAGTTCATGCATAGATATCAGAGAGCAACTTTCAGGAGTCAGATCTCTCTTTCCACTGCAGGACCAGGGGTTGAACTAAGGTCACCAGGTCTGGGAGCACTTTTACCCACTGAATCATCTTGCCAGTTCCATTTCTTTTTAAATTAAAAAAAAAAAGAAAAAGAAAAAACCAAACCAAACCAAAGCAAAACAAAATCCCACCAAGGGCACAGAGAGATACTGGTACCTCTTGGTGGGGTACTCAGAAGAGGACACAGCATTACCAGCATTACTTTGGCAAGTTTCCCAAAGATGCAAAATCTGAATCTAATCACAAGAACACCAGAGAAACTGAAGTCAAGATTCATCCACAAGATAACTAGCCAGAACGTGCCAAAGATGTCCAGTGTCACAGAAGATAAAGAAAGTCTGAAGAATTGTACAGGATTCATAGCAACTCAAAAAGCCAGACAGCAAAATGAAACACAGAAGCCAGGAGTTGCTTTTGATGTAAAGGGTGTTGTTAGGAAAATTGGCCAAACCAGAAACAAATCTGTGACTTACTTCAAAGTATTGTACCCATGTTAATTTTCTGATTTTGATAATTGCACTCCTGTCTAAAAGAGAAGGTCTTTGTTCCTAGAAAATACCTACTGAATTGTTTAAGAGAAAGATTATTTCTCAAATGGTTCAGGGAAGAAAAATGTATGTACACAGAAGAGAATTTTCAAAATGTAGTGAAACATTAACACTTGGGAAATCTAGGTTAAGAGTATGTGACAATTATTTGTAATAGTATTGCCACTTTCATGTATGTCTGAAAATATGTGCAATAAAAAGTCAAAAGAAAAAAATGTCAGGCTGGGGAGATGGCTCAGTGGGTAAAGCCCCTCCAGGCAAGTGTGAGGACCTGAGTTCAGATCTCCAGAACGCGCATAAAGCCAGGCTCAATAGCACATGCCTATAATCCTGGAGCCCCTATACAAGATGGGAGATGAAAGCAGAATTCTGGGAAACAAAGACAGGAGAATTCTGGGAAGCTAGCCTCTGTACACAGCAGGAAATAACAAAAAGACCCTGTCTCAAACAAGATGGAAGACAAGGACCAATATCAGGAGCTGTCCTCTTACTTCCATGGTGCACACACATACCTGCCTGTGTGAATAGCAATTCCCCTTCATCTGCTCTTCGAGAGAGAGAGAGAGAGAGAGAGAGAGAGAGAGAGAGAGAAATTTAAAAGAAAAAACTGTCAGTGTCTGGTATCTCTGGGCTCAGTTCTGGGTCTGCATCTCACTTTGTGCCACCCTCCTTTGCCCAAGGCAGTCCCATTCCCTGTCGTGACTTTAATTCCATTACTGGTACCCCAGCAATTCCCCTTCATCTGCTCTTCCGAGAGTCTCAGCAGCATTAGGCTGTATGCACCATGTCACTAGAATTTCTCACGAGCACCACAAAATCAACTCACTGTGTAGTCAAGGGTGACCTTGAACTTCTGATTCTCTTGCCTCCACTTCCCAAGTGCTACGATCACAGATGCCTGGTTTTATGCTGTTCAGGGGATCAAACCCAAGACTTTGTACATGCTAAGCAAGCCATCTATCACATGAGCTAGCCCCCAAAGCGAGATGTTCCCAACTCCAACCCATCCTTGTGAGATGTCCCCAACCTCAGTCCATCCCAGTATGTGACCCCAATATCCACCTTAGTGTCTGGGCCTTGGGCATGTCCTATAACACCTTCCTTATCTTTACTGTTCAGCCAATCACCAAATCACTTAGGGGAGTTTATACATCCCCCAAAGTCAGGCTCCTATTTGTTATTCACCTCTGTGTTCCCAGCCCCTCAGCATACTGCCTGATACCTGGCCTGTGCTTAAATATTTCTTGGGACTGGGGAGATGCCTTAGTGGTTAAGAGCACTGGCTGCTCTTGCAGAGGACCCAGGTTCGAATCCCAGCACCCACATGGTGGCTAACAACTGTCTGTAACTCCAGTTCCAGGGGATCCAATGAACCCTTCTGACCTCCAATGGCATTGCACAACACAGGTGCACTTACATACATGCAGGCATAGCACTCATACACATAAAATAAAAATTTTTTAAAGAGAAATTTATTTCTTGAGAGGCTGAGGGGAGATGAATCCGTTGATGAAGTACCTGCTACACAATCATAAGCACCTGAGTTTCGATCTCCAGCACCCATATAAAAGTCAAACACAGCCAGGCATGGTAGCCCATGCTTTTAATCCCAGGATTTAGGAGGCAGAGGCAGGCGAATCTCTGTGATCTGTGAAATCGAGGCCAGTCTGGTCTACGTAGTTTCAGGTCAACTGGGGCTACAGGGAAACCCTGTCTCAAAACAAAAACAAAAAGCCAAACAGTGGCACACCTATGTAACTCCAGTGCTGGGGCAGAGAGCAAAGGACAGAGAGCCTATTGTCCAGCTACCCTTGCCAAATCAACGAGCTCCAGGGTCAGTGAGAGACTCTGTGTCAAAAACCGAGATGGAGAGCTGGTGAGATAGTTCAGTGGGTAAAGGAGCTTGCCACCAAGCCCAGTGACCTGAGTTTGATCCCTGGGATTCACATGGTGGAAGAAGAGAAGCAACTCCATAAAGTTGTTGTCTGACCTCCACATGTGTACTGCAGCATGTATGTTTGTGCATGCACACATGTGTATGCACATTAAAAATGAATCCAGACATAGTGGTGCATACCTTTAATCCCAGTACTTAGGAGGCAGAGAGGAGGTTCTCTATGAGTTCAAGCCAGCCTGCTCTATATAGTGAGTTCCAAGCCAGCTAGGGCTACTGGGAGACCCTGTCTCAATAAATAAATAAATAAATAAATAAATAAATATAAAATGAGATAGACAGCAATAGAGGAAGGGACCTAATGTTGACCTCGGGCCTCCATATGCAGGTGCACACATATGCACATGCACTCACACATTCACTTACCCACATGAACATGTGCATACACCACACACATGCACACACACCAAAAGAAAAAAGAAAAAAGTATTTCTTCTTTCTGAGAGGCAGCTGTGGGTGCTGCGGAGCTCTGTGTTGTCTGCTTTGGTCCTGACTCACTGCTATTCGCTCCCACCGAGGAACAAGTTGGACAAGTAGTCGTGCTGTAGCCATGGCTTTTAAAGGATACTGGGAAGATGCCCATGGAGCCAGAGGTGGTGATTCACCGAATTCAAATCACTCTGACCAGCTGCTACGTGAAGTCCCTGGAGAAGGTGTGTGCTGACTTGATCAGAGGCACAAAGGGAAAGAACCTGAAAGTGAAAGGCCCTGTTCACATGCTCACCAAGACATTGAGAATCATTACAAGAAAAACACCTTCTTGTGACAGTTCCAAGACATGGGATCATTTCCAGGTGAGAATCTAAAAGCAACTCATTGACC